GCTGGACTGCCATTAGAAACATGAAGTGGATTGTGAAGTGGCTTACAGCTGGTCCTACTTGGCAGAATTAGAAATATACATCTGTGTCACAGTTTCTTATACCAAACTCCATCTCTAACTAGTATGTCTTACAAAATAAAAAGTTTTCTTTCTAGATGACAGAGAACACATAAGTGGTTATATATATATTTGTGATACATGTACCAGCATGAGAATCTATAGCTATAATAGTATTTTTGTGTCTTTCTGATCACATGGCTTGCAAAGACTATATTGCTTTATCACATGCTAGCTCTACTAAAACTTTTATGGCTCCCTATGCTCATGAAAATGTGAATTGAAGTGCACTTGTGTTCAACCACTTTCTCAGTATATATATATGTATATATATATATATATACATATATATATATATATAGCATGGACTGAAACAGATAATTCTAGACTCTTTCATGCTGTTGTCTACAGATATGTTTTAGAGGATTATGCTGAACACTCTTTTATTTCTTTTTTCCCCTCTTGGCAAAATGGGTCATCAAAACAGCTTTTCAGTTTGTCAGCAGATGCTTTGCATGTTTCATAACTGATGGACTGTACCCTTGGGAAGAGAAAATCAGATTCTTTAGTTTTAAAAAGAGTCATTCCCAAAAATACACACACATACACACAGAAATACATTCACACTGATTATCCTAGAGCCCTGAACTGTAAAATATCTTTATTAATAATGTATATAGCATATAATCATGTGGGAAAAAATAATATTGTACCCTCTTCATCTCTGGTTTTCCCATAGCATCTTTTTCAAAAGGGGCTCATTGCTATCACCCAAAAAGTGCTGGGAGGAGGTCCCATCACCATGCTCCTCAACTGTCCTGATTTGCCAGGGACACTCCTGATTAATCCTGTGTTGTCCTACTCTTTCAGCTGCTTTTAAAATATCCCAGTTTCTCTTTCGTCCTCTCATTTCTCCCCTTTTCTTCAGTTTATTTCAAATGCTTGAAATTTTTGTTCAAATTAACTCAGCAGGTGGCAGAGGAAGAATGGGAGATGGAATCTTGCTCCTCCCAGTAGGCTGAGGCAAAGCAAACTGCCGCAGCCTCTCCTAGCTTGTCTGTTCTTCCTCATCAATAACACTGATCATCTTAATCTCTCTCTGTTGCTTAGCCACACACGTCTTGGTTTTCATCTGTGAAATGTTGAAAGGTATGCACCACACATGCCCCAATTGGCTCAGATGTTGTCACAGGACCAAGACACATGATTTTTCTGGGACAGCCAAGTAGTGTAAATTGTTAGAACATTATGCTGCAGTAATGCAACCAAGCTGAACTGGACATAGGAAGTATGAGAGATGTCCAACAATAATTTAAAACAAAAAACAAAAAAATCTGTACTGCAGCAGTGGAGGTGGGACACAAAGCAAAGTCTCCAAATTTGTTCAGAACAATATCACTGGGTAGAGGGGCACAGGCATTTGCAGCTAAAATTCCCCTAGCTGTTCTTCATACACCAGCTGAAAAGAGTGTGGACAAAGTCAATGGATGGGACTCATGTAGGCAAATGAGAAAGCATTGTTACTAATGCTATAATAAATTATGGAATCTCCGACCTTTACATTAATCTTTTTAAAAAGACCTAAGGTCGTTCATGTGTCTTCTGATCATGTTGCCTGGGGGATGCAGAATACTGCACTTCTAAAAAGTAAATTTCCCAAACTTCCAAATTTCTTCCAGCTACAGATGTAATGTCCAAT